CGGAAGCTTGGAGAGACGCCAATGTGCAACCGGTGCCCAAAAAAGGGGACCGCTCAGACCCGGCCAACTATCGGCCGATAGCTGTCACCTCAGTGTTGTGTAAAGTCTTAGAAAGGGTCCTTAACAACCATCTGACCCGCTACCTAGAAGATTACTCTCTAATTCACGATCGTCAATACGGATTTAGGCCGAATCGATCGACGGGTGACCTTCTAGCGTACGTGACACACATCTGGGGTGAAGCTATAGACAAGCGGGGAGAGTCTCTGGCTATTAGCCTTGACATCGCCAAGGCTTTTGACAGGGTCTGGCACAAGAGCCTTCTCTCCAAGCTTCCTGCATACGGTCTGCCTGCTCAGCTCTGCGCCTGGGTAGCTGACTTCCTGCATGAGCGTAGAATTCGCGTCCTTACGGACGGATGTAGTTCGCAGTTCATGTCAGTGAATGCCAGTGTTCCTCAGGGTTCCGTTCTATCCCCCACACTCTTTCTGCTGCATATCAATGATTTGATTCCACTTCCGAATATTCATTGCTATGCAGACGATAGCACAGTGCATGCGAGATACTTTGGACACGCGGCGGCTGGACAGGTAGAAACCATGGAGAAACGGGAGAATCTTGTCGTTGAGCTCAATCGGGCTTTAGACCACATTTCCGAATGGGGTACTAGGAACTTGGTTGAGTTCAATGCCAAGAAAACTCAGGCTTGCGCTTTCACGGCAAAAACATCGCCATTCCTTCGCCTTCCCTCTCTTCAGGGCACAACACTGGCGCTACAGAGCAATATTACCATGCTCGGTATGGAAGTTCGCTCAGACCTGAATCCAAAGGACTACATCGAAACGTTGATCAAAACAGCTTCACGCAAACTCGGAGTCCTGAACAAGGTGCGGCGTTTTTTCACGCCCGATCAACTGTGCTTGTTGTACAAAACACAAGTGCGGTCCTGCGTGGAATATTGCTCGCACCTCTGGGATGGCTCCGCTAAGTACTTACTCGATGCCTTGGATAGGTTGCAGCGGCGCGCTGCCCGCATCATTGGCGATGAAGAGGCAACTAAGAAACTCGAGTCTCTACAATTACGCCGTGATGTGGCATCATTAAGCGCATTCTACCGAATATACCACGGCGAGTGTTCTGAGGAGCTATTCTTGCTTATCCCTCCATCACCTTTTCTTCAGAGGACCACGCGCGCTGGCCTACGTTGCCATCGACTTACTGTGGCCACTATTCCTACACGAACAAAGAAATTTGGCGACTCATTTCTTTGTCGTACTATTCGTAAGTGGAATTCTTTACCCGCGCACGTGTTCCCTCCTTCCTATAATCTGGGGTCCTTTAAGAGAGGCGTGAAGAAGCATTTTTGCGGGCCGGCAAGGTGAGGATGGTTGGTGTAGCAGTTAATAACTGCTGTACCAGCTATCTTCGCGTTTGGACTTTATCACCACTTAACATCAGGTGGGGTAGAGTCATTTGCCTACCTAGTAATATATATATAAAAAAAAAAAAAAAAAAAACTAGCAAACCAGTGAACCAAATGTTCACCAAAAAAAAAATGTATTTAATTAATTGAGAACTTCGGAGATTTTGTGTGGTTTCGTTTGAAATAGAAATCACGTGATTTCTCGAAAACCGGAAGTGCTACGTTACTCACATCCGGTTTGAAGTCTTATCAGACTATTCTTAACTTATAACTTAAACATTCTCTATATCTATCTCTTACGGTTTGGCCGCTGAAACAGCACCACGAACGGACGGACGGACTTGTCCAATAGATAAGAGATTGTGATAGGTTAGTGTTCATAAATAGCTCCATCTAGCGACCGGACGTAACGACGCGCTAACAAAGGCGTGCTTCATTCTGGCAACCATTTCACCATTGGGAGAAGCTAACACCGGAAGGGACGGGATGGCGCTGTATATCAATATAAAACCAGGCGGACGAACTCCGGAGCACTTCCTTGGCCAAGGGAGTCCAACTTCGACTCCTTTAAGATTAGACATATATATACTTAAATAATGTAACGAAGTTGAAAAAATACATTTATTTATTTATTGAGAAATTCGCTTTATTTCCTCAACAAAATACATGAACAATATACAGTTAGGTTAGATAAGGTTAGGTTTGTTTTGCTGTCCTTTTTAGGACCAGGGGAGCGTGAGCTCCTACAGGGCTCAGATTGGGGAAACGGTCCATTTTCTAGGACCAGGGGAGTTAGGAGCATCACCCCACAGTGATCTTTATCACTGCCATTGGAGGTAGATGCTCAAAAGGCCCTTCTGAGGTCCTAGGGGGGTAGGAGAGGGACGGCGAGAACTACACTCTCTCTCTCACTCCTGCGAGAGCCGCGAGTCCGCTCGCATGTTCCGGGGCATCTTCACCCCCACCCTCTCGGCACGCAGTAGGGGGACCGCGGTCCTCATAGTGCGTGTCGGGTGACGGTGCAGGAGTATTGTCTGGGTTTTAGTGGCCCTGTTCTGGGCGTAGGTAGGGCCCTGTTCACATCAGCGAGCTCCCTGGCTGAAGGGGACAGGGAGGAGTCCCACATACCTTCGTCTCGCTCCCCCAGTGGTTGAAGGATGCGTAAGGCATTTTCCAGACACAAAAAAAAGGTTTGTTTTGCTGACTAAAGTACGGCCAACGAGAAGCGATACAAAATGTAAAAAAAGTCAATGAAAGGCCATTGGACAAATGCAAAATTTTTGAAAATTACTTTTATTTCGTAAAATTAATATGTGAAGTTTATTATTTTAATAGACATATATTTAAATAAAATGTAGAAACTATCATTCATATTACGAAAACTGAAAATCTCATTATTTTTTACTGTAAAATAGCGCCCGAATGTTGGTTGCCAGATCGGCCAACCTAATAGCTGGACAGACCAGTTTGGACAAAAGAACCCTTATTTTTAGCTTAGTAATAAAAATGGCCAATAAAAGGTTTCTACAATTTAAATCACATCACACTAATATTATAAAGGCGAAAGTTTGTGAGTGTGTATGTTTGTTACTTCTTCACGTCTAAACAGCTAGAGCGATTTTAATAAAATTTGGTATATAGTTAGCTGGCACCCTGGATTAACACATAGGCTACGTTTTACTGCAGGAAAATTATTACTGCAGGTAACACCGCGGGACACAGTTAGTAGCTAGTTAGATATAAAACTGTCGTTGTGCAGGCTAAATAAAGTAAATAGGTAACATGTACTTATGCATATTTTGATACCAGGTCGCGTGTGACCGTTGCAAAACGGCTATTAGCGTTTTAATATGTTTTTTTATAGTACACTAGTGGCCCGCCCTCGCTTCGCTTCGGTGTAGAGCTGTAGTTTAGACTATATTTTTGTTCTCAATCTTCTATTAAACACAATGACTTTCTTTAAATACCTAATTACCAAAGACACGCGCCGCCGCCGCCCCCTGCCCAGTACCGCCTAAACCGGTATGTTCCTGCATTTTAAATCTGTAATATCTTCGAAAATATTCATTTAAATTACATGCTGTAGAGGGTTATATTGATCTACTAGCTTTTGCCCGCGACTTCGTCTGCGTGTAATTCGAATAAAAGCAAGGTCTTTATGTATCAATAACTGGTGCCCGCGACTTCGTGTGCGCAGTATTAGTATTTCGAGTAGCTTATATTAGCGTGAAAAGAACTAACATTATGACATTAAAATTGTAACATACATAATTTTTGGGTCGTATTAGAAATAAATTATCAATTTTTATTGTATTTATGGTTCACTATTTTGACAATAATGGCTTACTCATAAAAGATAGATATATATGGTGTCGCAGAATTTTTTGTAGGACTATTTAAGATAAATATTTTCACCATACATTATATACATTAGCACTAACTGTTTTTGCAGCACACGCCTGAATAGCTCGCAGATTGCAGAATTTTTTCAGACTTAAATGACATTTATCGTTACATTTTGGACAATTCACACAATATCTTTATAAATTATAGCCTATGTGTTATTCTGATCTATAAGCTACATTACTGTAAAGTTTCATTAAAATCCGTTTAGTAGTTTTTGCGTGAAAGAGGAACAAACATCCATCCATACATCCATCCAAACAAACTTTCGCCTTTATAATATTAGTAAGGAAAAGTAAGGATATTACACGCACAATGTATTTAAGGTACTTAATTGGATAAGGATTAATACTGTATTGCTTAAAATCGCTTGTTCGTAAATAAGCCATTATTTTCTCGTAATAAGTAACTAAAAAATGGTTATTGTGGGTTATACCAAAGAGATAGGCATATACCATCCCGGACTTTTTTATAGACCTTTTAAGGTGTACAATACTGTAGTACATTATTTTGATCTATCTCGTTGGGTTCAGCCAGCGTTTGCAATGTAAACGCAAAAAAATGTGTTTATTTACGACCTTACATTAAAAACCTCTAAAATTATCAGTGCTTCTCTACTATATTATGCATATATTATACATATAAACCTTCCTCTTGATTCACTCTATCTATTCAAAGAAACCGCATCAAAATCCGTTGTGTAGTTTCAAAGATTTAAGCATACAAAGGGACATAGGGACAGAGAAAGCGACTTTGTTTTATACTATGTAGTGATGAGAAAATGTCTATACCACTAAAATGTTTGTTATATAAGACTAGGGCTGCCATCCGTCCGGGTTTCCCCGGATTTGTCCTAGTTTACGGGACGTCCGGGGAGCGTCCGGGCGGGGTTTTATTTGTAGTCCGGGTTTAAAAATTTACGGCAACGCATGAGTGGCCCTTGGTGCTGCAAGTTTCCATGGGCAGCAGTGACCACTTATTATGAGGTAGACTGCTAGCTCTTTTGCCTAGATCAACATAAAAAAGTTGATTTGTGACATTTTTATCTGTTTTTTTTATTGGTCTGTCCGGGTTCTGGGCTTCAAAATCCGGGGTTATCACGCATCTTATCCTGGTTGCCACATTTTAGAGATGGCAGCCCTATATAAGACAGAACCCTTATAATAACACTTACCACTGATATCCTTCCAGAGACAACTGTTGGCAGTAAACCAGAAGCTGTAACGCTATCGTCCGTCTAGTGTAATTTGGCATTCCCATTAAACTCTCAAAACACTCGAGTCTCAGTTTCTCAACGAAAGTCAAGTAATAATCAGCCTTATCACCGTCACCGTTAGACTCTGTTTGCCTTCTCAACACCCTGTAACTGTCCCCTAGGCGTTTCAATAGCTGTAAATAAATAAATAAATATTTCCAACATTCACACCAATTACCCTAGCCCCAAAGTAAGCACTATAAGGCTTGTGTTATGGGATGCTTGGGTAACGGATAGAATATATATACTGTACATATATAAGTACTAGCTGACTCGGCGAACTTCGTACCGCCCAAAGGTAATAATTTTCAATAAATTAAAATTGCGACTATAATTTGAGATTTAAACTATCCTATCTCTCAAGTTGGATCGAACTGCACATGGTGTGCGAATTTTATTATAATCGGTTAAGTGGTTTAGGAGTCCATTGAGGACAAACATTGTGACACGAGATTTATATATATTAAGATATTTATAAAGAAATACATATTAAACATCCATGACTGGAGTACAAATGCTAGTATTCATCACACAAACATCTGCCCCCACCGGGATTCGAACCCGGGACCTCTCGAGTCGGCGAGACCATGAAACCCGGCGTACAAACTACTCGGCCACGGAGGTCGTCGTGTAAATAAGACACTTATGTATTGTCATTTTTTCCATATAAAAAAAAATCTTGATTTTTTTACTAGAAAATTCATCTCGGCCTCGTCAATCTCAGGCTGGATCGAACTACGGTCTTTTGTAATCTAGGCGAATGTACAATCAGCAAAGGCACTCTAAAGATCATTTTGAATTTCTTCTAGTAGTTTTTAGGCAGTGAGGCAGCGCCGCCTCTTCTTCGCACACGGGCCCCACGCCACAGCCACAAACGCCGCCACGAGAAGCTAGAAGCGGATACTAAAGTGGCTGAAGCGCGCGACAGCGGCCGACTAAGGTAAGGGAGAGAGGGGTGGGGAATCGCGCGAGTGACGTGTGGCGGTGTTTTGTATCGGCGCATTAAGTGGCCGGTGCGGGCCACAAGAAGCGAGCAACGACGATTTGTAGCGTGTGGCGGCCACCGGGGCACCGTATGTGGCGAGTCCATATAAAATGTATGAAAACAACAAGAAATATGCCGGTGGCGGCGTTTTGTGGTTGTGGCCAGTGGCCCGTATGCGGCGACACTTATTGAAGGTAAAGTACAATGTCATACGAAACACCTCTCTTAGGAATGAGGGTTTTCTGGAATGACGGGCGCCAGATGGCAGCACTGAGATGAAAGGTCTACTCATCTGTCAAATTGCGTGTCGTCATAGTCTATGGACCAATTTTAATGCTCGTTCGCATTATTCATACAAAATACCTCATACCACAGTGGAGCCAACTGGAGAGATAAATTTTCCTAAAAAGAGGGTCTTTGTGCAATAATTTTAAATGTAGAATTTAAAGGGATTATGAAACTAACAAAGCAAGAATGTTAACTTAACTACGAAAATATTATAATATTTTTTATTTACAAGAAATTACACGTACTTACATTGTATTATTCTTATATGACTATTTAAATAACTAAATAATAACTTATTTTCCATAAAACTAATATGAAGTACATCACCTTACTGAACAGCGACAGCATTTGTTGTCTGAAGTTAGGCGCTTGTGCATTGATATTATACTTTAGGAAGTGCAATACGAACTCCAGTTCCACTTTGCTAAACGTCTCTGTAGATTTGGGTGACTCGGCCACCAGAGCTAGGGACAGGATTCGAACCTGGGAAGACACGAATAAATGTAATTCTTAACCATTCGTCCTCATTATCAATATTTTAGCGTCGTATTTCAAAACAAGTAAAAGACATCGCTATGTAATTACAAAGTCATTATTTGACACTTAACTAGCATTTTCAATGACACAAATATTAGCAACATAGTATGAGTGACAAATACGGAACCCTTATAGGATCACTTTCTTGTCCGTCCGTCCGTCTGTCAAGACCGTTTTTCTCAGGAACGCGTGGAGGTATCAAACTAAATTTCATATCTAATACTCAGGTCTACTGTCCCTTGGAGCTGTGAAAAAATCAAACTTGTAAGCCAAAGCAATCAAAAGATACAGCCGTTTATGCCGCAAATTTTCGAAACTCGCACGGGAGTCAAAACCTACAGGGTACTTCCCGTGAACTTAGAATCTTGAAATTTGGTACGAAGTAACGTCTTATAGTACAGATAATGGAAAAATTGCGAAAACCGTAAATTATTAGTGACATCATATAATGAAAATATTTATGGAAATTTTAAAGTTAGTACCTTTTTTCTCATGAACGCGTAGAGGTATTAAATTGAGTTTGTACGGAACCTCGGTGCGCGAGTCCGACCCGCACTTGGCTGGTTTTTCATTACTATTTAAGTACTGTTTTTTTATTTTATTTTACCACCTCATTGTTTATAGAATTGCTTAAAATGAGATTTCTTACCGACAAATTCCGATTTATTACTGCCCACACGTAACAGCTCGTTCAATATTTATTACCGCCCATTTAATTATTCTCCTGCTCAATTATATAGTCACCGATGCATTTCATTATTTTTTGTTACTCATATTTGTCTCCTTACTGCTTAGTTTTAACTGCTGAACTAGTTATTAAAGGTGCCAAAACTACTATTTACAACTGCCTCTTTAATCCAGTGCCAATTTCATATATGTATAAGATTAAGTACTAACGTCATGATCCCCGTGTACCGCCGCCATGTTGAGGAGGTGAGGGGGGAGGAATTCCCCCCACCTGTTCCCGCCCGCCTTTCGCGACACGTGCAGTAACATCAGCACCGACTTTATGTTGTGGGGAGACGATTCTATTAAGGACTTGATTTCCGGAACACTGTACAAAGAATTTATGTTTGGGTAATTAATAATAATAATTATTATGTTTGGGTAATTAATAATAATAATTATTATATTTGGGTAATTAATAATAATAATTATTATCTTTATTGACATACACCTCACAGGAAATACAAGACATTAAACATGACAGTGAAAACGTACACAATGGGCGGCCTTATTGCTAAACAGCAATTTCTTTCAGGCAACCCGTGACAGTGAAATAAATAAATAAGAGGAACAAGAAGATGGGTGTAACTTTAGATTAAAACAAAAAGGGTAGATACGGCACTAGCCTCACAAAAGTGATCCGCATGAATTGTGGTCCACGACCCTAATCGCTTTAGTCACAACTTGACATGCAAACTACGTACATGTGAACGCCAAAAAGAAATAATGCTAATATTTTGTGTTTATATGATAAAGCAATGCATAAGTGTGTTTTTAAAAAGTGCTCAAATTGCTCAAGAACTAAAAATAAAACCCACGGCATCACTTTTCATTCGTAAGTACTATAAAATATATTTTTTCATAAAAATTGCTGTTTGTTTTGAATCTTATTCGGTAGTGACGTCGAGTACTGGTCGCGTGATTGGTCGGTAGTGCAGTGACGCGGATCTCGCCGTCTCGTTCGCGCTGCCGTTGAAACTTAACGTGCTGTTTCGCTCGGGTCGGTAATGCAGTGACGCGGATCTCGCCGTCCCGTTCGCGCTGTCGTGGGATCAGTTTTTGTTTGATGCAAGTATGAGCGTACCGTATCTACCCTTTTTGTTTTAATCTAAGGGTGTAACAGGTATGGTAAAATAAATAATGAATAATAAATGCAATAGATATATCCAAAGAGAGAGAGACAAGAGAGAGGTAAGATTTAAAGTTGGGAAAGGAAATAACATCTTACTTGTACTTTTAATTTAAATAACAATAACTAGCAAACCAGTGAACCAAATGTTCACCAAAAAAAAAAAAGAATTGAATTAATTGAGAACTTCGGAGATTTTGTGTGGTTTCGTTTGAAATAGAAATCACGTGATTTCTCGAAAAACGGAAGTGCTACGTTACTCACATCCGATTTGTAGTCTTATCAGACTATTCTCAACTTATAACTTAAACATTCTCTTTATCTATCTCTTACGGCTTCGTGCTAGGGGTACTGTACCTAAGCACGAACCAATGTCGAATTCGAATGGTTTGCGAGTGCAAAATGTCATTGTAATTTTGTACTAATTTTTAGTTCTCGTTACGTCCGTTGTGGCGCTGCTGTTCACGTTTCCATACAAAATTAGACATTGACATTTCACACTCGCAAAGTATTCGAATCCGATAATGGTTCGTGCTAAGGGTCATCATCATCATCAGCCTATTAATGTCCCCACTGCTGGGGCACAGGCCTTCCCTATGGATGGAATAGGGAGATTGGGGCATGAACAACCACGCGGGCCCAGTGCGGATTGGCGAGTGCTAACGACTGCAGATGCAGCCGGAACCAACAGCTTAACGTGCCTTCCGAAGCACGGAGGAACTCGAGATAGAAGATTTTTGGCCACCCATCCAATGATCGACCACTGCGAAAGTTGCTTAACTTCAACGATCGCAGCCGAACGCGCTAACCACCTGCGCCAATTTATTTGTCGTGTTAACACACGTAGGAAAACTTTGTTTGTAGCGTCGTACGCGTGGATATAAGGTAGTGTGTAGTGTTTTATGGGTCCTAGTTAGTTGTAAGGCTATTAAAATTTTGAGGAGCTCGATAGCGCATATGGTTAGCGCGTTCGGCTGCGATCGCTGAAGTTAAGCAACTTCCGCCGTGGTCGGTCATTGGATGGGTGACCAAAATTCTTTTATCTCGAATTCCATTCTTCTGAAGGCACGATCTGCAGTCGTTACTACCCGCCAATTCGCACTGGGCCCGCGTGGTGGGACATGGCCCAATCTCCCAATTCCATCCGTAGGGAAGGCCTGTGCCCCAGAAGTAGGGACATTGATGATGATTGTAATTTTGAAATAGAAACTGTGTAATGTTAGTCTCACATGTAGTGAATGATGTCTCCGTCCAGTTTGACCGCCTTAGCCATGAGGTTCTGGAGTACAGTGAGCTCTGTGGGGTCTCTAGTACTCTGCGCCTGACAGAGCGAAGGCTTCACCCATGTCTCGTACAGAGTGCCAGTGTCAGATTCACGCGCGTCGCTTTCCAGTATTAACTCTAACGCAGTAACCGCCTGGAGATGGTAAGGCAGTTAGAATAAATAAAATAATAAATATTTCCAACACTCACACCAATTAGCCTAGTCCCAAAGTAAGCACTGTAAGGCTTGTGTTATGAGATGCTAGGGTAACATATATAAGTATATTTATAGAGAAATGCATATTAAACATCCATGACTGGAGAACAAATGCTGGTATTCATCACACAAACGTCTGCCCCCACCGGGATTCGAACCCGGGACCTCTTGAGTCGGCGACACTATTAAAACCTGGCGGACAAACCACTAGGCCACGGAGGTCGCCAAAGAATATTGGTATCTAAGATTAAACTAGTAAAATAAAAGAACACGAAGTGCGTTAAAAAGTGGTTCCACGCAAACTGCGATCAAGTGGGTGCGGGGCGAAAAAATGCGATCAACACGCCGAACATGGGATTGGTTGGGATTTCCGTTTCACATTATCTTACTCAATGACTGCATAGCCAAATTCACTTGCAGATACATATTTCATTTGTCAAAGTATTTTATTTAGTCTGTGAGCGTGTCGCATTGGTATTGAAAAAAAAAACAAGTGTGCTTATGAATACACGACTGAAGTGAAACTTCTTTAGCTCCATTCACTATATATATATATATATATATATATGTATATGTGTGTGTACAGTATATACATGTATGTACATAAACTATTTCATTTACTAGCTATAAGAGAAAGAAAGAAAGAAAATAAACTATAGAAAATAACATGCATGAAATAATTCCAATCTAATATTTATCGCTTATTGACATTTTGAATAAACTATGTTTTTATTAATGTGACATTGAAATAATTAATGTTTTACAGAAATATTATATTGCATTACGACAAGGCAGAATATGGCTGTACTGTACTAAAATGTATCTGTGTAACAACTTTGTAACCTGTATACGCAATAAAGATGATTTGATTTGAAAATGTGCACGCGCTCTGCTTTCTCTTGCTTATATCACCAACTCAACTCTCGATCGCCTCACCCGCACACACTTTTCGTAACGCGTGACGCATTCGCCAGCTTACCTCCCAAGTCAAGCGTGCGTAAAGAAGTTTCACTTCAAAAAATATTGGATGAGACAAGAAGGAAAATTGGATGAGAAAGGAAAAATAAATGAACGATTCAAATGAGCTTTTTATAAGTCAATTTGAATAAAGTATCATATCATTTCATCATAGATTAGTAGTATGAGTTTCGAACCATGTTTATGGGGCCTTTGTTATAGAGTTATGCTTCCATATAATTTTTAATTCGTTGGTGTAAAGGTAACAAATGAGGAGCTGGCGAACAAAACGGTATAATTACGTAAAATTAAATTTTACAGGAGCTGTAAAAAACTGAATGACAACGAAAGCTCATTGTCTCATGAGTCCATATTTTTTGTAATTTTAACACTGTTTCAGGCGGTTTTGATTGCTAATAAGTCGAGATTCACAATTAGCGGGCCCAAAACCTCAGTAGTTTGGCCAGATGCGTAATAATACCGTTTTGTTCGCCAGCTTCTCCTATATAAGGCTCACCTGCGGTTGCGTGCGAGCCAGGCTCGTGAGTTCCGTCACACAATGAGGTGTCACCGCTAGCACCCGCCGCGCGCCCACCGCTCCCACCCACGCGCCCACGCACACGCACCACGCCTTGTGGCGGCCCCGCGCCCACACCCGCCCCGGCCCTGAGCGAACACACCGCGCTATAACCTGTACTGTTATACGTGCGAGCCCCACGCACACGCACCACGCCTTGTGGCGGCCCCGCGCCCACACCCGCCCCGGCCCTGAGCGAACACACCGCGCTATAACCTGTACTGTTATACGTGCGAGCCCCACGCACACGCACCACGCCTTGTGGCGGCCCCGCGCCCACACCCGCCCCGGCCCTGAGCGAACACACCGCGCTATAACCTGTACTGTTATACGTGCGAGCCCCACGCACACGCACCACGCCTTGTGGCGGCCCTGGGCCCACACCCGCCCCGGCCCTGAGCGAACACACCGCGCTATAACCTGTACTGTTATACGTGCGAGCCCCACGCACACGCACCACGCCTTGTGGCGGCCCCGCGCCCACACCCGCCCCGGCCCTGAGCGAACACACCGCGCTATAACCTGTACTGTTATACGTGCGAGCCCCACGCACACGCACCACGCCTTGTGGCGGCCCCGCGCCCACACCCGCCCCGGCCCTGAGCGAACACACCGCGCTATAACCTGTACTGTTATACGTGCGAGCCCCACGCACACGCACCACGCCTTGTGGCGGCCCTGGGCCCACACCCGCCCCGGCCCTGAGCGAACACACCGCGCTATAACCTGTACTGTTATACGTGCGAGCCCCACGCACACGCACCACGCCTTGTGGCGGCCCCGCGCCCACACCCGCCCCGGCCCTGAGCGAACACACCGCGCTATAACCTGTACTGTTATACGTGCGAGCCCCACGCACACGCACCACGCCTTGTGGCGGCCCTGGGCCCACACCCGCCCCGGCCCTGAGCGAACACACCGCGCTATAACCTGTACTGTTATACGTGCGAGCCCCACGCACACGCACCACGCCTTGTGGCGGCCCCGCGCCCACACCCGCCCCGGCCCTGAGCGAACACACCGCGCTATAACCTGTACTGTTATACGTGCGAGCCCCACGCACACGCACCACGCCTTGTGGCGGCCCCGCGCCCACACCCGCCCCGGCCCTGAGCGAACACACCGCGCTATAACCTGTACTGTTATACGTGCGAGCCCCACGCACACGCACCACGCCTTGTGGCGGCCCCGCGCCCACACCCGCCCCGGCCCTGAGCGAACACACCGCGCTATAACCTGTACTGTTATACGTGCGAGCCCCACGCACACGCACCACGCCTTGTGGCGGCCCTGGGCCCACACCCGCCCCGGCCCTGAGCGAACACACCGCGCTATAACCTGTACTGTTATACGTGCGAGCCCCACGCACACGCACCACGCCTTGTGGCGGCCCCGCGCCCACACCCGCCCCGGCCCTGAGCGAACACACCGCGCTATAACCTGTACTGTTATACGTGCGAGCCCCACGCACACGCACCACGCCTTGTGGCGGCCCTGGGCCCACACCCGCCCCGGCCCTGAGCGAACACACCGCGCTATAACCTGTACTGTTATACGTGCGAGCCCCACGCACACGCACCACGCCTTGTGGCGGCCCTGGGCCCACACCCGCCCCGGCCCTGAGCGAACACACCGCGCTATAACCTGTACTGTTATACGTGCGAGCCCCACGCACACGCACCACGCCTTGTGGCGGCCCTGGGCCCACACCCGCCCCGGCCCTGAGCGAACACACCGCGCTATAACCTGTACTGTTATACGTGCGAGCCCCACGCACACGCACCACGCCTTGTGGCGGCCCTGGGCCCACACCCGCCCCGGCCCTGAGCGAACACACCGCGCTATAACCTGTACTGTTATACGTGCGAGCCCCACGCACACGCACCACGCCTTGTGGCGGCCCCGCGCCCACACCCGCCCCGGCCCTGAGCGAACACACCGCGCTATAACCTGTACTGTTATACGTGCGAGCCCCACGCACACGCACCACGCCTTGTGGCGGCCCTGGGCCCACACCCGCCCCGGCCCTGAGCGAACACACCGCGCTATAACCTGTACTGTTATACGTGCGAGCCCCACGCACACGCACCACGCCTTGTGGCGGCCCTGGGCCCACACCCGCCCCGGCCCTGAGCGAACACACCGCGCTATAACCTGTACTGTTATACGTGCGAGCCCCACGCACACGCACCACGCCTTGTGGCGGCCCCGCGCCCACACCCGCCCCGGCCCTGAGCGAACACACCGCGCTATAACCTGTACTGTTATACGTGCGAGCCCCACGCACACGCACCACGCCTTGTGGCGGCCCCGCGCCCACACCCGCCCCGGCCCTGAGCGAACACACCGCGCTATAACCTGTACTGTTATACGTGCGAGCCCCACGCACACGCACCACGCCTTGTGGCGGCCCCGCGCCCACACCCGCCCCGGCCCTGAGCGAACACACCGCGCTATAACCTGTACTGTTATACGTGCGAGCCCCACGCACACGCACCACGCCTTGTGGCGGCCCCGCGCCCACACCCGCCCCGGCCCTGAGCGAACACACCGCGCTATAACCTGTACTGTTATACGTGCGAGCCCCACGCACACGCACCACGCCTTGTGGCGGCCCCGCGCCCACACCCGCCCCGGCCCTGAGCGAACACACCGCGCTATAACCTGTACTGTTATACGTGCGAGCCCCACGCACACGCACCACGCCTTGTGGCGGCCCCGCGCCCACACCCGCCCCGGCCCTGAGCGAACACACCGCGCTATAACCTGTACTGTTATACGTGCGAGCCCCACGCACACGCACCACGCCTTGTGGCGGCCCTGGGCCCACACCCGCCCCGGCCCTGAGCGAACACACCGCGCTATAACCTGTACTGTTATACGTGCGAGCCCCACGCACACGCACCACGCCTTGTGGCGGCCCCGCGCCCACACCCGCCCCGGCCCTGAGCGAACACACCGCGCTATAACCTGTACTGTTATACGTGCGAGCCCCACGCACACGCACCACGCCTTGTGGCGGCCCCGCGCCCACACCCGCCCCGGCCCTGAGCGAACACACCGCGCTATAACCTGTACTGTTATACGTGCGAGCCCCACGCACACGCACCACGCCTTGTGGCGGCCCTGGGCCCACACCCGCCCCGGCCCTGAGCGAACACACCGCGCTATAACCTGTACTGTTATACGTGCGAGCCCCACGCACACGCACCACGCCTTGTGGCGGCCCCGCGCCCACACCCGCCCCGGCCCTGAGCGAACACACCGCGCTATAACCTGTACTGTTATACGTGCGAGCCCCACGCACACGCACCACGCCTTGTGGCGGCCCCGCGCCCACACCCGCCCCGGCCCTGAGCGAACACACCGCGCTATAACCTGTACTGTTATACGTGCGAGCCCCACGCACACGCACCACGCCTTGTGGCGGCCCTGGGCCCACACCCGCCCCGGCCCTGAGCGAACACACCGCGCTATAACCTGTACTGTTATACGTGCGAGTGCGAGCCACACGCATTAGTTCCGTCACACAATGAGGTGTAACAGCTATAGACAAAAAATTGTCTGGCAATAAATATTGCGAACAGAATGTGTCAGGCAGTATTAATTTTAAATTGATTACAATATTCACACGTAATAATCAGTCCCCAGACTGTAAGTAAAGTGAGTAAAATGTTTACGTGCCTGTGCCACCAAAGTTGGCCCACAGCACAAGTTAGCGAAATATGTATACGTTTGTTGTACACACTAATACTACAAGATAATCCATATTTCGTCCATGAGAAAATAATTGAGGTCTGGCAGTCTTGGGATCTTATTTTATTACTAGCTGACCCAGCGAACTTCGTACCGCCATAAAAAAGGGCAGGTGGTAGAAGAGAAACTTTAGGGTTGTATGTATTTTTTAATACCACATTATAAAAATAAAAAAATGTCCAAAAAAAATTTAGGGGTGTGTAACATAGTGTTCTATCAATTTCCTGGGATAACATTCCCCCTAACCCATATGAGAACACTACGTTACAATACCCAATATGTAGGAATTTTGGCGCGAAGGCGCATTGTAGGTTTCAGAACACGTTACAGGTGGACAATCATTATCACTTAAGGATATGAAAAATAGATAGTACGCGATTCTCAGACCCACGGAATATGCATATTAAATTTCATAAAAATCGGTCAGGTCGTTTCGGAGGAGTATGGTAACTAACATTGTAACATAAAAAATAGGGGTTGGTGGTAGAAGGGTGAAAATTTAGGGTTGTATGTATTCACTAATGCTGTATCATAAAAAAAAATTAAAAAAATCGAACATTAAAGAAAAAAATAGGGATGGATAACCCATATCACTTAGGGGTATGAAAAATAGATCTTGTCCGATTCTCAGACCTACTAAATATGCACACAAAATTTCATGAGAATCGGGAAAGCCGTTTCGGAGGAGTTTAACCACAAACACCACGACACGAGAATTTTATATATTAGACTAGCTGACCCAGCGAACTTCGTACCGCCATAAAAATAGGGGCTGGTGGTAGAAGGGTGAAAATTTATGGCTCTATGTATTCTTTAATACCAAATTATAAAAAAAAAATGCCCAAATTTCAAAAAATAAAATAAAAAATGTCCAAAATATAAAAATGTTAGGGGATGGATAACCCATATCACTTAGGGGTATGAAAAATAGATGTTGTCCGATTCTCAGACCTACTAAATATGCACACAAAATTTCATGAGAATCGGGAAAGCCGTTTCGGAGGAGTTTAACCACAAACACCGCGACACGAGAATTTTATATATTAGATAATTTTGACAAGAATGAACACCAGCCGCGCTAATACGAGTGCCAATGAAATTCGGGTAAACGAGTCGAGTCGAGTACGCCCGGATTCGGGTAGTTTTTGTTTTGTTTACACGACACCGTCTTTCGGTACGTATTCCAGTGTAAATATTGCTTCGGGTGCCCGAATTCTAGTAATGTCTTGCGTGCACCCGAATAGAAGCTAACGGCAAAGTGTGTTTGAGCCATTACGTATTGCGATAGAGTTCGAAACTATAGCGCCAGTTTACAAAGCTAACCTACTAGGACCGTAAGAGTCATTACAGCATCAACCTTACGCCGCACTATTAAGGCTCATATTGTTGTTCATCACAACTCTAGGTCTTCGTATTGTCTATTCGTATTTTTACATCTAGCACGAACCATAATCGAATTCGAATTGTTTGCAAACCGAAATATCAATGTCAAATTTTGTATGGAAACTTGAACAGTAGCGGCACAAAGTACGTAACGAGAACTAAAGATCAGTACACATTTGACAATGTCATTTCGGACTCGATTTCGATTCGAATTCGATATTGGTTCGTGCTAGCGGTACTGTTTTCAGATTGTTCGTGACAATATAATACGGGGCCCGGCGACGCAAACCTTATGGCGAAAATCACTTTTTATCATTACCCTCAAAAATGGACATGTAAATTATCAATAACAGTAGAACATAAGTGCAGTCAGCCACACATCAAGTGACCGCAAAAAGATAAATTTTCAGTATTCAGGGATTATGAATCGTAATTCAAGCAGATAAAGCTACTAATCACTTGGAGCTATTTGACAGTTTTTGGGTAACTTGATCTATGGCTGTCCGTACCTACAAAAAAACTTTTTCTATGTGTTAATTTAATTGTTTTATGTAATAGGAAAAGATTTAAATACTATGATATGATAGCTTTATAATGCTAGCATGACATTTCGAAAAAATGGTGTGGTCTTATGACACCACGATGCAACTAAATCTTTTAAAGTCATTACTAAAAAAGTCCTTCCTCGGCTGGGATTCGAACCTGGACCGCATGCGTAAAAACACTTTCTACCATTGAATGTTTTTGTCAATTTATGTTTTTTTTTAAAAACGATTATATGTAATAAAAGTTTCAAATTAATATTTTTTCAACACATTTGCTCAAAAAATTACGTATAATTACATTTACGGAATTAAAAAAAAAATACAAAATTCAATATTGTTTTTATCTAAAGAAAAGTTTACTAGAAAAAAAAAACTACCTTTATCATCCAATTTGACGGCACATTTGACAATATTAGCCAACGCTTGCGCCGCCAGATGTCGTACGCTGTCCATGTAGTGTTCCACGTGGGTCCAACAATACTCCAGCGCCTGGTCCATTATAAGCGTCGCCAGTTCCCGGTCCATGATTCGGTGTAACTGTTTACTGACCTGCACAATAGTGCGCGTCACGCTTAACGTGAATATTGATTCTGATGATGTCCTGGAAAAGGAATTTGATAGGATAAAAATACTAACCTTTAGGGGTTAATGGATATAATTATTAAATAAAACTAGTTTTTACGGGTTAATGCACGAAACTTTATTTATTTATTGACGTTTCGCAGCCTTTTCTAAGCCTAAGAAACAAAAAAGATATAATTATGACAAGTTTTTTAAAACGTTCATACATTACTTATTAGTTTATAGTGACTCCATAAATTCTCTAGCATATCTATATATATAAAACTCAAAGGTGATTGGCTGACATAGTGATCTATCAACGCACAGCCCAAACCACTGGACGGATCGGCCTAAATTTGGCATGCAGGTAGATGTTATGAGGTAGGAATCCGCTAAGAAAGGATTTTGATCAATTCTACCCCCAAGGGGATAAAATAGGGAATGAAAGTTTGTATGAAACTTTGTCAATTTTAAACCGATCGGGCTGAGACTTTGCATGCAGGTATAAGAAGAATCATAGATTAATGTCATTGTGTATAATACAAGCCTGAGAACAAAAACTGTAGTCTACACTGCAGCTCTACACCGAAGCGAAGCGAGGGCGGGCCGCTAGTATTAAATATGGCGTATTTACAGGCAAGTGACGTCACACGGCTTTTTTAAAAACGTCAAACAGTACACAAAGTACTGTCACTTTGTCAGGATGTTTACAAGTAGGTGATCTCATTTTAGGCTCCGCTAACTTTAAGATTTTGGTCATGTGACAATAGATAAAAATAAATTATATTATGATTCAAATCTAAAGTGAAGTTTACTAGAAAAAATTCCACGCGGACCAGGCAGCAGACGGGACTCGAACCCACACCCTAAACTATCCGGGCGAATGCACTGACCAATTATGCTACCGCGGCTCTGACGCCCGTGTCGAATTTTCTCTAGCCTCCATTTTCTCTAGCAAGCTGAAAAGCACAGAGAAGATGTAGATGCTAAATATTTGGTCACCCATCCGATTGCTGGCCAGTAAGAAAGTTGCTTTGTCTTATTTATTATTTAAGCATCATCCGCTTTATGTTTAAATCTAAAGAACAATTTACTAGAAATTAATCTTTAAGGGTCTCGAACCGGCACCCTCCACTATCCGCGGCCCTAATGTCCGTGTCGAATTTTCTCTAGTACTTATATTGTTATATTCTATACTTTGTAGTTTAAACATACCTTTCCCCGATAGCTATTATCTGACTGGTAAGGCAGATGAGCGCCGGTTTGTCGCCAATTTTGATCAACTGAAGCTTTTCAAATGGTACAACTGTGACAATGGCCGAGTGTAGAGACAATTCTGCAGCTTCGTTCTGTAGCAGAGCGGCTATGTAATTGTTAGCTTTTCTTGCATCTAAAACCTATAAGAGAAAATAATTTTGCGAGAAAAAGAAAACAATAAAAATGGAGAAAAATATTTTCATGAATTTAGTAGTATTGGGCCTTTGGAGTTATGTTGTCATAGGTCGAAAAGGTTCGAACTTTTTTGTTTGGAACCTGGGAGCCATTTTCCTAACGGAAATGCTTTGGAAAACGCTAACGCTTTCGATTTCATTTTGTTATTTCTGACCGCCGAAGGTTTTCAAATACCTCACGCTCATTTTTTTTAATATTGTTATTACTAATGCAAAAGAAAAAAAAGAGCGCGAGGCATTTGAAAACCTCAGGCGGCTAGAAATAACAAAATGAAATCGTAAGCGTTAGCGTTTTCCAAAGCATTTCTGTTAGGCGAATGGGCCCCTGGTCTATTAAAACCCGCCGCAATTAATTTTCGTTATTCGGAAATTGCGGTTGTATTGGTATGTATGTGTAGAGAACACAGACAAACAAAAAATGTCAACTAGCATGGTACCCCAAAGCCCAAAAGTGCAGTGTTACGAGATATTGGAGGTAAAGATCGACATATGTGTACAAGACGAACAACATTGTGGACTGTACAAACGTCGATATTCAATTCAATTAATTTATTTCAGCCATTTAGCCAGATAAACCACATAAAAAAGAAGAATAATAATTATAAAAGCATAAAATTACAATCAAAAATAAAATAAATAATAATCCTGCATAAAATAAATAATAATATTAATAACGCAGTGCATGAATTTACTCCAATAAAAAAAAAAGAATTGCAAAGGATACAGAATACTTTGTTGAATGAAAGTCTATGTACCACACACATTGGCCATGGTGTGGCCGCCGGATGTCAAGGTGTCGCCTCTAGAGGTTCCAGGTTCGTATCCTATGGTGGAGGCAGTTTGTGTGCTAAATACGACATTTGTACTCAAGTCATGGATGTTCAATATGTATTAGTATATAATTATACTCATTTATGTATCAGTAATATGTATTCTATGTGTTACCCTAGTATCCCATTACACAAGCCTATAATGCTTACTTTGGGGCTAGGCTAATTGGTGTGAGTGTTGCAAATATTTATTTAATAACATATTATGATATTATACACTAGTGGCCCTCGCTTCGCTTCGGTGTAGAGCTGTAGTGTAGACTAAAATGACTCTTCATATAATTATAAAAAATACTGAAAATGGTATCACGTCACTCAATTGTTTTGCTTCCCGGAACCACTCCACTAACATTTGAAATTTATGCTATGGTATTAAAGTTCAAATTGACTTTTAAGTATTATTACAAATCATTTGTTTGGGAGTACAGAAAAGTGTTGTTTTTGGACTTTTTAAGGCATTTTCTTTAATTTTTCTCTGCGTAAGAACCATCCTCGTACTACAAGGAATATTCTAAAAAAAGAATTATTAAAATTGGTTCAACTGTTCACGAGATTTGCGCTTAGTAACACTTTCAGCGATTCATTTTTATATTATAAATAGTCAAGTTTTTACAGCTTACCATAGTCCAGGAATCTGGTCCATTTTCTAGACTTAGTATAGTTAAACAAATAATTCCACTAAGTGTTTTGGTATCCATTGGAGTGTCTTCATTGAAAAGTAGATCTTTTATGCACAACTTTAACTCCTCAAGCATTGTGATTAATTTTGGGGAATTTTCATCATTAACTTTTTGTATTATGCATAACAGCAACCGTAATGCTAAGTGTGCCAAACTGAATATTTCGTTTCTCTCAGTTGGGGCTAATGTTTTCACATCTCTGAAACAATGTGAAATAAAAATATTTATTTATTTTTAAGTTCTAAAAAACATAAATCATTTGTTTTACTATTGTAACTTAATAATATTTCAGTGACAAAAAAATATTTGTTTTTAGTTTTTTTAACTAATATTGATTATCAAATAAAGTACAGCTATAACATTGAATTGTCTGTTGTCTTTATCAAACCAGGTTATGCTGTTGTTTTGTTTGGTAAACATTATAGCACATCCATACTCTGTTAATTCTAATGGCATGCAAATTACAATAAAATCATTTTAACATGAATAGGAGCTTAATGCTCAATGGCACTTGTGGTTAGTGCGTTTAGCTGTGGCTGTTAAACCAAAAATTAACTTTATCTCCTATGTGCTTCTGAAGCCACGTTAAGCCGTTATTCTCGACTGCATCCACAGTTGTTAGCACCCATTAATCCGCTCAGGGCCCGCTTGGTCATGGCCCAATCTCCCTATTCCTTCCGTAGGGAAAGCTTCTGCCCCAGCAGTAGGGAATGAATAGGCTGGTGATGAATATGAAATTGAATAATCAAATTATTTACCTGAATGTAGTATTGCAACAATTCAGACACCTAATCAAGTATCCAGCCAGTTTCATCTCCACCAACTTAATAGCCTCTACTCCAGCTGGGAAGCTTTCAAGACATGTACCAATTTTAGACACCACTCTGGAGTAGGAAATATAGTCTTCATGATTTTCATTTGTATAGCTATCAATATATTGTGCAAGTTTCTCCGAAAATTTTGGTTGAAGGTAATCACTGCGTGTGACATGCCTGTAATAAATAAAATTGCTACATTATTTAAATTTTTCCATACTGACTTTTAGATCTTTTTTAGATCATCGCTTTTGCCATCTCTGAACCTTGATTGAGATCAGTGCCATCTTCGACCTATTGAAGGCCCTGGGCATATTAGGATAATGGGGCTCCTATGAACTAGGGACATTGTATTTGATCTGAGGGGGGCCCTAGCCTATTGATCGCGAGGCCCTGGGCACTTGACCAAAGTGTCCACTGGGAAAGACGGGTCTGATTGAGATAAATATGTTAAGATAATGTTTCTGGCTTTTATAAGAAGCTTTAGGGAATCCTGCAATGTGGCATGCATTGCGTTAAACCAATAAGTTTTGGAAAAATAAATTACTCTTTATCCAACACGTTTATTATGGATGTGCCTACCTGACTACAAAACATTTTACTGGGTGTTTGACTTCAGCCTGTAAAAAAACAAGTGCCAAAAATTTTATGACATTGGAGTCACTATCTGTTTTGCTCCCATTTAAGATTTTCTTTATAGTATGCAGTTGTTCATCCACCGTTTGTGCATTCAGAAAGACTTTGATCAAATCATTTTCACCACCTGAAATACAAAAACAGCTGTTAACATTAAACTGAAGAAATTTTGTGCTTTCTTCAGCTTTTGCAAGAGATATTTTGCTACGAGTTTATAGCGTTACAGACATATTATACATGGGCATTTAATAAAAAATTAAAGGTGAATACAATAATTATCGCATATACTACTTTGTTTTGTTTATAACAAACTTTATTAACCTATACTTTCGTGGTTTTCAAAGGTGACAGGTGCGAAACTCATGGTATTTTTTCTTTTTTCGCCAGGGTTTATCCTCAATGTTAGTCCATTCATCATTCTCAATAAAAGAATAATTAAAGAAATAAATTCAAAAATAACCCAACCAAACGGTACATGTTTTGCATGTAGCATGTAATGTCATTGTCAATGTCAAATTATTACCGAATGAGTTTTTATTGGGAAAGGCAAAGGCAAAACCATGCACACATCCTCTTATTTTTTTTAATGCGGGTGTCACACGTTCTTAAGTTTCTTAGAGTGTTTGGCACTAAATTTATCGAGTCAGCTTTCTTGATTAGCTTTTGTAAAGTAGTCAACTCTACAATAAAGTCCTCAAAAGCGTATATTTTCATTTTTCCACTAATCATTTAAGTAGTTCAGGTTCTTTGATTAGGGGCCGATATCAGTAGTTAATGGTCTTTGTTAAGTCACAGATATCAGTGACCCATGGTCACTCATTAGTGGCTGATATTAGGGGCTAATGGTCTCTGATAAGTTGCTGATTTAAGCGGCCCATGGTCTACTATAAGTGACTGATTTTAGTGGCTGGTAGCACTGCCGGATTTAGGGGAGGGCAACCGGGGCGAAAGCCCCGGGGGGCCCCCACAGTAGAGACTTCGGAAAAAAAATTGTGTGTGTCAGCTCCGACACACGACTGGAGTTTACTCCTTAAGTTCGATAGTCTAACCAAGATTGATACTGTATGAAAGGGTAAATTAACAAATTAATGAAAATAATATACATATATAAATATATATTTATTCATTTTATATACATTTATTATAACTAATCGACGAAATTAATTACAATAGTCAATTTCAGATGTGCATAAATATATCATTAGGAATGTTGATAAATTATGTAATTATTATTATCAGACTGTTATCATTTTTTTAAATAATAATTTTTAATGTTGTACCATACCTCGTTGTCCCCATTGCTCTATCAGAAACAATATCTAAATTGAGTTCAGATTAAAAAAAAAATATTAATGTCAATCCGTCATCTTTGTTTGTCAAAGTTGCGCGACATAGGATGCGCACCAAAAACGTAACGAGGTAATTCATCGATAGATTTTACTCCTCACATTTTTCTCATACCGGGCCCCTTATGCAAATCGATTCTTAAGGAGTAAACTCCAAAAATCTTTCAAATTCCAACTAACATCTTTTCCTTTGATATTTTTTTTGCTCTTTTACCTTTACCTATAGCCTACAGTACTTTGTACATCTAACATACATGATTATTTGATTATATTAATCTTAAATAACAGAAATCATTGATCTATATTTGTTCACTCCAATCAGGCAATCAGTGAAATATCAAAATCTCAAATGGCCCTGATAAGCACTTCCAATTCACTACCCATCTTGAGGGAGTACCCCAATCGCTTAATGGCTGAGTGGGGTGGTACTTGCCCGCAACCTCGGAGGTTGGGCATTCGATTCCGTGTTTCGACAATTTTTTTTTCTTATATATATATGTACATATGCAGGGCCGAATTTAAGGCAGGGCAGGTGGGGCTGTGGCCCAGGGGCCTCCACAACAGCTTAAGAAATAACAACATTTCGATGGGTCAACAAGCGTGCAAATCCAAAGTGGCCCGGGGCCTCCACAACAGGATAAAAGATAACAAAATTTCGATGGGTTAACAAGCATACAAATCCTAAGTGGCCCGGGGCCTCCACAATCCTAAATCCGGCCCTGGCTGGTAGTCTCCGATAAGTGGCATATATCAATGGACCATGGTCATTGATAAGTGGCTGATATCAGTGGCTCGTAGTTTCTGATAAGTGGCTAATATCAGTGACTAATATTCTCTGATAAGTGGCAGATATCATTGGCTAATATTCTCTGATAAGTGGGAGATAGCATTGGTGAGACCTCTTATAAGTGGCTGATCAGTGGACCATGGTAGCTCATTACTGGCAGATATCGATGGCCCATGACCTCTGATAAATGGCTGATATCAGTGGCTCGTAGTCTCCGATAAGTGGCTGATATCAGTGGACCATGGTAGCTCATTACTGGCAGATATCGATGGCCCATTAGCTCTGATAAGCTTCTGATATCAGTGGCTCGTAGTCTCCGATAAGTGGCAGATATAGTGGTCCATGTGATCTCTGATAAGTGAGAATAATTTGCCAGACTGTCTTTGATTTAAGAATAATATAGTGACATTTTCAGCACTTTCCAGCACTTTTTTTTGTGTAGTAAAATATTAGGCCCTAGTTACTGTCAGATCACCAAACGATAACCAATGTTTATTGCCAAAAAACTTACATAAATTGATGAAATCGAACCTAAATTACTGACTACAATACCAACTTACTAGCTTTTAAAAAAGCGAAGCTATTCTACACTCGCCAAAAAATAAGGCTTTCCGACTTCAGCATGCTTAGATAAATTTAAATTTACATATAATGGTATACTAAGCACATACACATTTTAAAGAAAAATCATCAGTAGTACACTCATCAGTATGACTAGCTCCATTTGAAGTCATAATCGACATCAAAGTCAGGGGCCTAATTATCCTAATATGCCCCGGGCCTCCAATAGGTTTAAGACGGCCCTGATAAGTATATTGAATGAATTATTAATATGTTTTAAATAAAGAACACAAAGGTTTATAAATCTTACTTCATTTATTTACATTACTTATCCTTAACAATAAATAATTTATAAATTATCTATATCACACTAATTTTACTACAGCGACGCCTCAGTCTTATCAGTTTCTTCTAGAACTTTCTTCTCATCGAGAATTTCTTTCTTAGGCTCCTCGGGGACAGGTTCCTTGACTTCTTCCACTTTCTCTGGTTCGGTTTTGGTAGCTAGCCCGCTGCTGTCGCCAATATTTCCTGTAAAATAAAACAAACATGTATCTGTTAAATCTATACTAAACAACTTTTCCCATTTCTTTCTACATTTTGTGTAAGCGTCTCTTTAGCGGTTCAATAGTTGAGTGTTTTTTTACGATTGCTTATTTTATGTTAAAATGGTGGCAAACATGGATATAATAATGGTGTCGATTCTGGCACGATTCTCTAAATCTAAACTTAAATTTGACAACAGTGTATCCTTGTCATTCTCCATACAGAATGAAAAGGAGAGACTGATGTAGTTTTAAGTTTAGAGAATGACGCCAGAATCGACACCATTGTATGGTTAGCGGCCATCATAGTCTATATAGACACTTGCGAATATCACTCGCACCGTTTAGATTCTCTGACACAATCGCTTACCCCGTAGAGTTCTAAAACCTTACACACCGATAGAAACACAACCTTACCAAAAGGTAGTGTAATTTTACTGTGATCTATAAGGTAGAGGTTACTTCCCCAGGCGGGCGCTCCAATTCGAGCGGTTAATCCGCTATGCTCTACCACTCTTTTACGATAAAAAAAAATAGAGTTTTTTTTCTTCACTAATAAACCGTACTTTGTAGGTTTATGATAAATACAAGTAGGCTTATTCTTTAGCTTTAGAATAGCAAAACTAAGAATAGAACTAGTTTTTAGGGGTTAGATGTATTGAATTTATTTATTTTTTGACGTTTCGCAGCCTTTTTTACGTAGACCTGCGTCGTCTAAATAATGACTTTTATGTCAAAAATCTGCGAAACGTCAATAAATAAATAAAGTAAATCTAACACATAAAAACTAGTTTAATTTAATGAGTGATGTGCGTGAAAACCTAAGAAACAAATTAAACTAAGAATTTAATTTTTCAACAGTATGTGAACCCACTATACCACAGACGGTTATTTATCAAGGATTTTTAGGGCTAGGATGAGTTAAAAACATATGTAGCGTCTGTGCGGAAAGAGAATGGGCGTGGGGAAAAACGGAACTAACATTAAGATATTTATTTGGCAATCAAACCCAGCAATCTGTTATACGACAAAGTTTTGTATCGATACGGATTTGTTTGTTGTTATGATTTCTTGCGGTTTTTTGCATTTAATCATGTCTAAAAGGGGTAAAACCTTACAAATACGAAAAGCACTACAGCGCCCTCCAATCTAAATCCCATTCTCTTTCCGCACAGACTCTATTCGTTAATTGATCTTCTTTCCTTTTGATTAAGATGCTCTTGTGTTTCTTTTTTCTCGATATTTAGCATGTTAACTGTAAACTTTTTAAAGTACAAGGTAGAGTCAGTTACAAAACTTTTTGATATGCAAAAGAGCGCGGAAAATTTAAAATCAGGGCTAATTAAAATAAATATCTTATATTACACATAAAAGACCTCTCTCTGTCCGTCTTTCTTATCATTGTTAAGTTTATATAGGCCTTAAAAGCATGCTTATGCAGGCCTAATTTGAAGCGGTCTTGTTCATAAATTTTATATAAAGAAATTTTTAGAAGACAAGGCTTAGGACCGTATTATAGATAGATTCATATTTATTGATCTAGTCTTGAGCATAGTTAGGGATGTCGCTATATATAGCACATAGCGACATCCCTTTCTAACTGTACTCAAGTAAAGATCAACTCTTAGTTGTCATTCTGTAATACGGGCCGTAGACTATGAGCAGTAAATTATGGGGCGAAAGTTAATATGAAGCTTATCTCACAACTGCGCCACGATGTTTCGGATAGTTTTGGAACTAAAATCTGCTAAAACTAGCGTTCGCACTTCGATTTAAGTACGTTCCTTCAGCTGCACATACAAATTTATCGTTTTCCACAACCTCATTTAGTGTGTCAAATTATCGCCAGTCAAGCCATCTTCCAGTCTAAGGTATATATAGACACGTAGCCCGCTAAATCATTACGACAAAATTAATTAAAATTTCGAACCCTATTTTTAGCGCATTTAGTAACAAAGCCACTCGAAGCTTGGTCGTGCAGGTTACATACCTATACAGAAGTATGAGAAACCAGTAATGAATTTTAATATGGTACCTATCTAATGCCGCTTCCTATATACTAAATATAAAATTTATTGTAACTATATATATATCTAATATTCTAAATGATGTAATAGACGATGACTTCAGAAGTATCTCTGAAGTCATTTTTCAACTTGACGACTCTGTATATATCAATACAGGATACAGGGAGAAAAAAGCAGCCCTTGCTGAGTTTCTTGCCGGTTCTTCTCAGTACAAGGTCTCCTCTCCCGCTGTAGTT